GTAGCTTCCATGTCCAGGTTCCAGCAGGTTCCAGCAATGGGACTAACCTACTTAGGAGCTGCAAAGCAGCTCAGATGCTGGTTTGAGAGAAAAGGCAAGTGAGTGAGAATTAAGAAGAGGGGAGTATTTGGACCCATTTGCATACCTTGCCTATTTCCATATTGCAGTAGAACAACTGGATCTGTAAGAGGTCATTGTCTCTTGTGGGAAATTTTCTTCAGAAATTCCTTTCCCTGTGGTCTCACTATTAAATGGGTTATATGAAGAATCACAGCTTGTAAGGAGCAGAAGTCTGGCCCATCCTTAGGAGGACTGTAAAACAGAAATTGTATTTGAGACTCAAAATGCTGATGTGTAACAGCTAGAACTGGTAGTATTGCTACTGTTTCCCAAGATAAAACATAATATACTGGCCACTGGCTAGCACACTGGTTTTGAAGAGTGATGGGGAGTGGAATTTACTCATGAATGGGTTATTATCTCATAGTATGTGGTGGTATTTTTTTTTAAATTATTAACATCTATAAGTATCTTCTATGAAGGTTTGGCTGAGTGAAAAGCAGTGTCGCTTCTTTCCTTATGTGTCTCTTGACATTTCTTGGTGTTTTAGTAGGTCAGGAATCTCTGTAGACCGGGATTTACTGTCTGCTTATTTCTCAGGGTGTTGCAGAGCCTGTGACTCCTGTGACACATTTAGCTCCCTCCTTTTGCAGTCCTCCTATTGCAAGCAGCAGGAATGTGTGATGCATTGGAGTGTGGCCCACCCAAAGAGCTGTGTAGAGAACCAGGGATATGTGCTTTTGAATGGCAACTCCAGCTGGGCCACATTCAGCAGCTTAGGTCAATTTGACCAGATATAAAATGAAATGTTTTATTTGTATTTTCTGCAGACTGATGGCAACAAAAAAAACAAACAACACCCAAACTTTTGTAAAAATACTAGTTCCCTCTGGCCCAAAATTGAATGACAAATTCCAAGTTACTTTAATTCACTGTTAATCTATCAAAGGTAGGTTGTAAGAACATCTGTATTTTCATGCCAATGCAGTAGTCTGGCTATTGTAATTTGAGAACTGCCTTTGTTGAAATTTGAGATTTTTGACCATTACTTCCTGCTGGATTCATGTCTTCAGTTCTGTCTAGCTGACATCTCTTTGGCAATCACAGCCTTGGAAATGCTCCTTCAGACAGTAGGATGTGAGGAGCAGTGATGCTGTAATAACCTCACACTGCAGAGAGAATGGTCTCTTCTAAAAAGGCACGTTCATATTAAAAATTCACAGCGGCACACTCCACACCCCCATTATAGGTAATTACAGAGGATTTTAAATATCTGATGCTAGTTGGCAGTGTACAATACCCTGTCAGCAGCAGGAACTGATTTGTAATTTAATTATCATAGGACATCCACCTGTTCTTTTGTCAAATGAAGAGTAGCATTTCTGTGCAATCATGCTTTTCCCTCCAGAAATTTGAATTAGTCCTTAGAGAAAGGTTTCTAGGGATTGGGTTTTTTTCAAGGACATTTGCACGACCCCATAAGAGCAGAATGAGGCATTTCTGCAGAAGAGTCTTAATTCTGGTTTGGTATTTTCAGCCTTACCACTGGCTTTTTGCTGTATCAAGCTGTTTTGGTTCACAGCTGAAAGCATTTCAATGAAGAGATGCTGTAGGAGGAAAGATGTATGAAAATCAATGGGTTTGGTGCTAAGAACACGAGGCAAACCCATAGAAGGATTGACCCAGAAATGCTGTAGGCTCATATTTTTTGAAGGAGAGACTGGGCTTGGGATAGGAGGGAGACAAAGATGAATAGAAGAGTGGAAATCTGTTCTGTAAACTTTTCAGTTGATGGCATGTGAGCATGGATATTACTGAAGTTATCCTGGGAATGTGCATTTATTGGATAAATAGATCAATTCAAATTCTAAACCAAGTCTATCACTAGAGATCCACACAAGTGTTCTCTTTGGGAGCATGAGGCTCAGGGTGAATCAATTTCCTCTGGGCTTTGGCTCCTGTTCATGGAACAGCAGCACTGCAGTGCGGTGGTGGGGAAAGGACTTACTGATGGTCAAAAATATGTTCTCTCTTTAAGGCCGTATCACACTGCTTCTGGCAGTGTAAAACTGCAACAATTATCTGGAAAGAATAGCATGTATGTTATATATATATGCACACACATATATATGTGTGTGTGTGAATGTATGTATATATAGTCATATACGAATTATATAGAATCAAATTAATCATATATAAATAAATATATAAACATAGAATGAATCATGGAATCATAAAGTGGTGTGAGTTGGAAGGGACCTTAAAGATTCAACCCCCTGCAAGGGTAGGGATAGCATCCACTAAATGAGACTGCTTAGGGCCCCATCCAACCTAGACTCGAACATCCCTTGCAAGGATGGGGCTTCTGCACACTCCCTGTGAAGTTTCATCCTGTTCTAATGCTTCATCACACTGAGGAAGAATTTCTTCCTAATATGTAATCTAAACCTCTTCCAGTTTAAAACCATTCCCCCTTCTTCTGTCACTACATGCCTATATAAAAAAAAAAAATCCCTCTCCCTCCATTATATAAGCATCCTTAAAGTACTGAAAGTTCTCACCCTGAAACCTTCTCTTCTCTAGGCTGAACAACCAGGCTCTTTCAGCCCGTCTTCATAGGAGAGGCGCTTCATCCCTCTGATCCTATTCATAACCCTCTTCCGGATCTGTTCTAACAGGTACAGAGAAGGGAATGTCTTTCTTGTGCTGAAGACCCCAGAGCTGGATGCGGTGCTCCAGGTGGGGTGACACAAGATCAGAGTACAGGGTGAGAATCATTTCCCTTGACCTACTGGCCGCTCCTCTTTTGATGCAGCCCAGGATGAGGCTAGCTTTCTGGGCTGGGCATTCACTATTGGCTTATGTCCAGCTTATCATCCACAAGAAACTCCAAGTCCTATTTTGCAGTATGCTCTCAATCCTTATAGTGGGAGGGACTCCACTCTTCCCACATCCACCCAGAAGATCGGGAACCTGTGAGAAGTGGGAAGCCCGTGTATATATATATATATAGATATATGTGTATAGTTTTTGTATCTGCAAAATGTTGTCAGCAGGACCAGGACAGTGATTGTCCTCCTGTAGTCACCAATGGTGAGGCCACACTGTGAATCTTGTGTTCAGTTTTGGTCCTCTCACTACCAGAAAGACACTGAGGGGCTGGAACATGTCCAGAGAAGGGCAATGGGGCTGGGGAAGGGTCTGGAGCACAAGTCTGATCAGGAGTGGCTAGGAAGGTGAGGGTAAAGGAGCTTCCTTTAGCCTGGAGAAAAGGAGGATCAGGGGGGACCTTATCGCTCTCTACAACTGTCTGAAAGGAGGCTCTAGTGAGGTGGGGGTTGGTCTCTTTACCAAATAACAACAGACAGGATGAGAGGAAACAACCTCATGTTGTGCCAGGAGAGATTTAGATTAGGCATTAGGAAAAATTTTGTCACTGAAAGGGCTGGCAAGCATTGGAACAGTCTGCCTGGGAAAGGGTTGACTCACCATCCCTGGAGGGATTTCAAAGTCATGTATATGTGGCGCCTGAGGACATAGTTTAGTGGTGGACTTGGCAGTGCTGGGTTGGATGGTTGGACTCACTGATCTTAAAGGTCCTTTCCAATCTGAATGGTTCTGTGTTCTATGATAGAGCATCTTATGGCTTCTGTCATTGCTGTCTTGTCTCCTTAAGAAGTAGCCACTGGACATTTCCATTTTCCCCGTTTCTGAGTTAATGAGATGACTCTGGTAGTCTGCTCTTATTTCTCCTAATTATGTTTTAGCAAATGACTCACTTAAAAGAGGATGTTTCAGAGTAGTAGTCTTTTTAGAAGGAGTACTCACTCAATTAAAAAAATAATTGATTGCTTGTGGCTTAAATGATCCGTGTGCCAAGCCTTAAATGTGACATTGGCTGGAGTACTATCTATTAAACTGATGGCTTCTTGCCCAAATAATATTTGGCTGGTGCCAGTCATTTCATATATTGATTAATTATGTTATCTGAAAAGTGAATATGTGAAGGGCTGCAGGCATATCGCAGAAAAGAAGAGAATAAATCATGTCACATGTGTATTCTGAAAATTATTGGCAACTGCTGAAACATTTCCATACGTAAGATTGAAGGCAGAATACACTGGGGTGGTTTCCTTAGGAGGGATGAGTAAATGAAATAACACTCCATAGCTGAGTGGTCAAAGTGACATGGATGAGCAGCAGAGAGGTCTGCTGCATGGAGAGGTCTGCTTTGGGATGTTCTTGTATCTGGACTTCAGACTTATTTTTCTTATATGGCCATACAAATAAATCTTAGGCTTTTACCCAATAGCCGCCTCCTCTGGACACCACTGAGGGGATGGCACGTTTTTACAAAGCATTCTGGCTGGAGAACAGATCAGGTAATTTAATTTCATTTTTAGGGTTATATTCCTTGTTACAAGCTTCATGTGGGATCTTGGACAAGCTCCTCATGTAGCCTCTCCATAGAGAAGAAAGGTATAGGTATAGAATTTTACAGCAGGGGAATCTTCTATGGGACTGTGCCTCTGTGGAAGTGTGTGTGCGATCTCCAGCATCAGAGTACACACTGCCAACTGGAAAATAACACAAGTATTTTGCAGAGAAGGGCTATAGAACTCTAATTATTAACACAGGGATGTGAAATGTGATCTGACACTACAGCTTAGCTGATCAACATCTCTTTTTCTTCATTATCAGTGTGTCATCTCAAATGTCTATTTGATGGTGAAAGTCTTATGTATCGGTGACATATACCACATTTTTCTCTTTGATACAATGGTAAAAAAGAATGACTCATTCTCTCCAGAACACACTAGGAAATCCAATGATTATTGTCTACTGTATCATATTTTTTTTGTTATTCCACAATTATACTAAAATATAGGAATTACCTCCTAAAAGCTTATTTTTTCTTCCTTGATGTTTTCTTCCTCTAGAAATATCGTTATCAAGATGAGGATGCGCCACATGACCATACTTTGCCTCGTTTAACCCATGAAGTTAGAGGCCCAGAGCTCGTTCATGTGTCAGAGAAGAACTTGTCTCAAATAGAGAATGTCCATGGATACGTCTTACAGTCGCACATTTCCCCTTTGAAGGTAGGATCCATACAACTCATGGCTTTAATCCTCAAATGCGAGAAAACACGTACCATGAAATTCCTGGGATATATATATATTGTTGTGCAAACAAACAAGCTGCTTTCTGAAATCTATCATTGCAGATTGATTTTCCTGTGATAGGTTTTTAAGGCTCACTGTAGTGGAGCAGGTGATAGTTCAGTTGACAGAGCATTGTGTAGAGTTGTGAGCTTTCTGCTTTGAGTAAGGCTTTTGCTCAAGTAAAAATAATTCCTGGCAAATGAGCCTGTTTTTCTGTACATTGTGAATGGAATAATGCAGGTTCTCAGCCTCAATATCACGGTGATTTTGAAATGGCAGACTTCCCTTCCTGATGATCCTTGTTCAGAAATTTAAAAAAAAAATACTGTAAATGTAACTAGTTTTTTTCATCTCTCAGAAAGCTATATCAAATTCACAAGTTATGTCTGAAAAGGGAGCTCATTTGCCTCTATTCATATCCTTGCTGCTCAAGCACTTGCAGTTTTCTGTGGGTTTTGATGCAATTCAGTGTGCTGTAGAGATATCTTTCTGTTAACTAAGGCAACTATTTATAAAATATAGAAGCTTTAGCTGTATGTGGGTCTGATGTCCTCTGATATATCTTGTTGGGCAAAAATGTTTCTCTTCCTGGTGAACCCATATAATAACCAAAAAGTAATCCATTCCTGAAAATTTACGTTTGTCCTTTAATACGAATGCAGTGGTTGGAAAATATTCCTAGAGCTTCTCTCATGGAAGGAGCATAGATGCAGTGATTAGCATGATGGGTTTTCTATTTTAGTTCCTACTAGGCCTGGGAAGGGGGGAAAAAAGAATAATATTCTTTACTTTAGGCAGTGATGTTATGGGTAATAGTTTTGTTTCAGCAATTATCTAAGCAACAAACAAGGCAGATGGGCTTTGCTCCCTCTGGTGCTCAAAGCCTGTGAAATGGGCACTGCTTGCCTAGCACAGTGTTTACAGAGTGGTTACAAGTGAAAGGAAGTGTTTATTATTAAAGATTGATGTGACTATAGCTGGTGTTCATTGAGCCTTTGTGGAATAGTCATGCAAATGAATATTTGTCCTTTGCTCTTGTTGGTCCTGTGTTTAGTTTGTATGATGTTTGTCTTTTCAGGTTTTAGCAATTTTCTGGGTTACTTACCTAACTTTTTCTGCAGAAGCCAACGGTACCAAGCAGTGATAGATCATCTTGTGCTGAGGCTATCACTTTAGTTATTTGGAAAGGATTACTTCCATGAGGCCTGTCTAGCATCAGGGAACAATCACAGACCAAGCAATTTGTGGCCTGGAAAGGAAGCGTCTCTGTTCCTCTAGGACTTCTTGAGTATTGTGATTACAGTGGGGTTTCTTGTTCATGAAGGTCAAAACCACACATTATTCTTCACGTTTGGAGACTTTCAAGTAAGGCTACATAATCCAAGATGAGGGTGTAGCAATAATGTCAAAAAGCTTGTTGTGAAGTGAAGGGTGTCCCCAGACATGCACAATTGCCCTGAAACAGCTCCCAGTCATATTTGCTCTTGTAACAGGACAAAATTGTCTGCTGCTGTTTTATGAAGTGATGGTAGGACAGGAGCTGTATAGTATTTCCTCTTGGAAATAGTGTCTCCTGCAAGTTCTCCATTCAGCATAAGGATTTTTGTCTTTGACTCTGTCCCTTTCCCTTCTTTCCTTCAGATTCACAGTGTCATATCTGCCACTTAATAGTCTCATGCCTGCCATTTAATCTAAATTTAGCTGTTTGTCTCTTCAAATGGCTTTAAAGTTCCTGCTTCCTTTCCCCTGCTTTCTATGTCCCATTTTTAACCTTCAGCAGTGAATTAGCTCAGAAGGCTGGAGGAATTCTTCTGCTAGAGCTCATGGCATTGTGTTGCCCTTCCTTTATAAAACACCTGCTTTGGATTCACTTTTACTGTTGGCAGTTGACTGAAATCCCTGTTCAGAAGATTTTGGTCACAGTGACGTGCACATAGTTGAGAAATAGCATTGTGAACACTCCAAAATCTAGTCAGAATGGGTTATTGTCTTGAATTACAGACTTTCCAACCTATAGCCTGATATCATTAAGTATTCTGCCATCTTCTCAGCCATATTATGTTAACATGGCTGCACTGAATAATGGCAAAAACTGCCTCTCTATCCATAGCATGTCTTCCTAGAGAAATGTAAAACACTGGATTCTTAAAGACTAACTGGAAAATAATGCCTACAATTTAAATATTTCATTGACTCCTGTGAGAAGTGGAACTGCTGGAATCCTTCTCTGAGCAGAAATAACAAGTACTGTGGTCCAAATATTGTCAGGTACATTCTTAGGAGTGAGAAGACACTGGCAGTTGCAGCAGGATAACGCTGTCAGGAAACTCCACCAAGAGCTTTTGACTTGTTCTGCCTCACTTTTCTGGTTACAGGTTAGAGCATTTGGTGAAAAGGGAAAACGTGTGCATGCAAATCATGAGTCTGCTTGTACCATGTGCTGAGGAATACATTTGGTGCAGTTTCTGGTGCTGGGAGTGTGAGTGCTGTTAGTCTATGAATGGTCAGACAGGGAAGTTCCCTTAACACCAAGCCAGGGATCACATCATATCCTGTGTGCCATTAGGACTGTCCATCTGACCACTCACCCAGGCCATCAAGCACATTGGCTGCCTGGCTGGGTGATGTTGTGTCACTGCCTGGCTGCATTTTACTGCCTGAATTTCCCTCTAGGGACTGCAGCACCAGGCTGCACCTCTCCAGCAAGTTTTGAAGCAGTCTTTTGTGTTTAGTGGCTGCACGGTGCCCCGATGACAGGATGACTACCCAATATTTGTTTTGAAGTAATATCACAAAAGGAAAATGTTTCAGCATAAAAATAATCTAGTTAAGATGCTTTGGAACCAAAATGTTGTCCCAAGACCAAGCCACATGTCCATCCTAATCACATCACTTTTCCTAAGTGACTTGACTTTGGCAGCATAAAAGAGTTGCTTATTCCCATATATTTTTGTTCATTTGGAAAGAAATCTGCAAAGATCATGCAGTTGTAAAACCTCCCTTTGGGCTGGCTGGTTCTGGCCCTCACAACTGAGCAGTGATCACAGCCATCTGTGGAAGCCATTGGTGTTGCACCTTGTCTGTGCCTGTAGACTGCTGGCTGACATCACCCTGCTCCCCAGTTCTCAGTGAACATCTCAGCTTGCATCCACAATCCACTTTGCCAGTCTGAGAACGGGCTTGCATCATTACAGAGGAAGGTTGTGTGGATGGTTGAAGTTCAGGTAGAGAAATCATGGGCTTGTTAATTCCCCTGTGTACATCTCCAGGTAAAACATTCCAGGAATTCTTGAAAAATTTTCTGACACTCAGAATGGAAGGATTCAGACCACATTTTTATTAACACCCATGATTCAAAATGCCTGATATGGGCCATGTTTGCATAGAACAGATGCATCTTAAATTTTGAAGTATACAAATTCTTAAATAATTTGGCAGTAATTTCATATTTCAGATTGTGTGGCTTGATGTAGTCCAGAAACACCTTAGTGGAGCTCATTGTTATTAGATTATTAGATTGGATATTAGGAATAAATTCTTTACTGTGAGGGTGATGAGGCACTGGCACAGGTTGCCCAGAGAAGCTGTGAATGCCCCATCCCTGGAAATGTTCAGGGCTAGATGGGGCTTTGAGCAACCTGGTCTAGTGGAAGGTGTCCCTTCCCATGGCAGGGGGCTGGAGCTAGATGGTCTTTAAGATGATCCTTTCCAACCCAACCATTCTATGATTCTATGATTATTGATTACCTCAGAAAGTTGTTTGGGAAACCAAAATATAAAACTTATTTCCTTCAACACCCTTGCACTTGTTTCATGTTCTGAATAATAAGAAGTGTGGTCCTCATACATTCTGAAAATCTCTTTGAGACACACAGATATTGATTATGATAAATGTTGTTTAGAAATGTGAATAGATTTTCTGAAATTGAAGGTAGGCATGTTTTCTTATCTTCCAAGTACCTAAAATCTAGTATGCACTAGCCAGATTACTCCCTTTTAGTAGAAAATAATGAGCAAGAGCAGTTTTGCTGCAAACCAGATCTTCTTTTATTTTCCCTGTCTTTTTCACTTCTTCACCTTATTGTATTTTGCATTAACTTTGCTTTTCTACTTTCCTGTAGCATTTCATGTGCAGTCAGCTTAGTTCTGAAAAATGCTTAATTTTAGAAAGCTTCAAACTCCTGATAAAGGTTGATCTGCTTATTAGTGTGCAAAAGATAAAATTTTCAACAGCTTAAGCAACTTTGAATGTCAAACACTGAAGCTGTAAAGGAAGTTTTCAGTTACGTGGATGTATTAACATTTGGGAAAATGCTAGCATTGCAGAAGTTTTGTTAGAGTTGCCATATTAAGATAATAAATGTTCTTTTCAACTTATGGAGGTGATGGAATTGCCTTTTAATAATCTCTTAAAGGAAAAAGTCTGTAGTGTAATGGAAAGGGAATTTAAAATAATTTTCTTGCACTTCCCCTTGTTTGACACGAGATGGTGTAGTAAGCTCAGAATTCGTTGGTCTGCATATGTAAAGCTTCATGCTATACTACTGAGAGTTTTTTTAGATGCCTTAGAAAGTAGTAATTCAGTAAAAAGTGCCTTGTGAATCCCCGGTGTTTTGGGAAATCTGAATTCAACACAACTGTACATGAAAATCAGAGGCGCTAGTTCTGTCTCTAAATTAAATATGTGCCTCTTCCCCTTCCTCCCAGGAATAGAGCTAATCAGTGTTCATTAATGAATGATAACTCTGGCTCATAAATGAACCTTTCTAGTATTGTTGTGATGTTTGACTTATTTTTGTTGTTCAGTATACTCCACTTTGTTAAGATAAGCTGAAAAGTAAAAATCTGTGTAAAGATCTCTCATCTCCTTGGTTTTCTGAACATTCTAAATGTCAGGCTATTCCAGCTATCTCCGTTTCCTAATTTAATGCCAGGTT